GCGTGGCTGACTCTTAACTTTTATAAAGAATATCTCTTTGGATTTGAGACTTTAGTCTTTGCAACTTTACAGATCTTCTTTATGCACCAAGAGCTTGTAACACTCCAAAGAGAAAGGAAAAATTTAAATCGCATCATATGACCCCTTTAAGACAATCACTTTTCAGTTTTTAATTAATATTCACTGATGAATCGTTTACAACAAGATCATAAATGTGCATGGTATATAGGTCAGTTTTTTATTTTAGTTGACTTTTAGGACTAGCCTCCACTCGTTATCTTTACATAGAGGATAATCAGTCTAGATGAACACACACGTCCATTATTTCCTAAAATAGCCTTCTAAATATGATCTAATAATAAAGCTTCAACTGAAAGTATCCACAGCAAACTGACCCCCAAAAACCTGACAGACTACAAATGAGTATAAAGTCAGACTTACAGAATCTCATGTTGAGTTCAATCTCAAGTCAGCCATTCGCATCAGCAGTCACTAGGTCAAACACTGACTGACTATTTTGCTTTCTTTGCTTATGGCTTTACACTGAAAAAAATGTTTCATTCATCCAATTAAAAAAATTTAGGGTAATGATTCACATCTATATTTTTTAACTTGAGCCAATGAAAAAGAAATAACTTGCCCTTAGGGGGTATAAAGTGTCTTGTTACTGGAATGTTTAACGCATCGTTTACCATGCTGGAAATTTACCATGCAAGGGGATGCTTGGGAGTTGGAAAATTAGAATTACAAAATGTATTTTTGGGCTGTCAAAATGAACTTAAGATATCAATGAAATATCCTTAAACCAAAAATATTTAACACATTTACCAAATTTGATTTCATTCTGCTTTTGGAAATCATACAATAATTTACGTATATTTTATTGTATTGACAGCCCTGATGCATAATGTTTAAAATATTTAAAATATTTTAAAGCTTTATACATATAGCATTACTGTAATAATAGAAAACAGACAACTTAAAACAAAATAAATATTTTTCCAGATAATATTTTCATAATTAGCTTTATAATGACAATATAAAAGCTAATTTATTAATTATTTAATAAAAAATGCCTGAGAAATGTCATATAATATATATTTTAGTAACACATCATCAGATTTATCACATTTGGGGGGCGTCTAAAAAGTATGAAAACCCCAGGTCTGGGCTACCACACATGAAATAAAAATTCAAAATACATTTTTACACATTATACGCTTCTGAATTATGCGCATTACTAAGAAATTGATCAAAACAGTTTGTTTATCACTTTACTTGTTTAGACTACATTTTTAAAGAGTCTGAGCCTCTTCTGTGGGATTGACTATTAAATGGAAATCTATCAAGTATGCCAGCTTAACATTTACAAATAAGTAGCAGACACACTTAGATAAGCCTGTATAAATGTCAAACTGTAAAGCTCTCAGTGACGTCTCACTCACCTCTAACCTCACTGGTCAGACATAAGCTGAACTCCCCAGGAATGAGAAAAGAGCACCAAACATGTACAGTACGTCTGCTTGAATATCCTAGTCTTTCTCAAGAGACGTGTACTAGGCTGTGATACACCAGTGAGGAGGATGTAGGAGGGATTTGTTCTGTTCTGTTCAGACTAACATAAGAATATGGAATAAACTGGGCTCTCCAAAGCCTTCTGTCTTTAAAGGGACTGAGAGAAACGAGCGTTCCCCAACGTAGCGCCCCCAAAAAACGATACATTATTCAGTGTCATAGGAAACTGTATTAAGGTCTGTTAAGTGTTTTAGGAAAAACCTTGAAGGGAAACTTCTCAGTTATTATTCTAAACTGAACCCAAAAGAAAAAAGGCACGAGACTTCTCCATTTGTTCTTGCTTAGACAGCAATGAGATTAAATGGTGAACAAAATAGAGACTTTACTTAAAGGAATAGTTCACCCCAAAATGAAAAGTCTGTCATTACTCACCTATGTGACACACTAAACCAGTATTTTTATTTTCAGAGGAGAGCAAAATAGAAAGGTTTTTAAATAAATGTAACATAAATGTTTTCCATAGAACAATATGTTGCATATGATTCCGATGATGATGTCTAGAGATCTACATCATGACATTTGTTTAAGAGACACTCAGTGACGTCTGATGATGCTGATGTCCAGTATGTGTGGCATATCTGATTAGTGAATTTGAACAGTGAATAACCACTTCAGCACAAGGTCAAAACTTGTATTAAAATCAACTACTAAATGTTCTGTATATGTATTTCTGTCAGGACAACTATCGTCAATGATGATTGGCAATTAGCATAAGTTTGGAATACTACTGAAATATATACTACTGAAATATTCTCTGTATAAATCTCTCTCTCTCTCTCTCTCTGTATATATATATATATATATATATATATATATACACAGACAGGCAGACAAGACATTACCGTTCAAAAGTTTGGGGTTGGTAAGAATTTTTTTATTTAATTTATTTATTTAGTTTGAAAAAAAAAAAGTCTCTTTTGCTAACCAAGGCTACATTTATTTAAAAATACAGTAAAAGTATTTACAATAATATTTTACCATTTAGAATAACTGTTTTCTATTTTCATGTAATTTATTCCTGTGATCAAAGCTGTATTTTCAGCATCATTACTCCAGTCTTCAGTGTCACATGATCCTTCAGAAATCATTCTAATATGCTGATTTTTAATTAACTTTACACTCTAAAAAATCCTGGGTTAAATACAACCCAGTGCTGGGTAAAATAGGGACAACCCCAGCAATTGGGTTGTTTTGACCCAGCGGTTGGGTTACTACCCAGAAGGTCAACCGCTGGGTCAAAACATTTACATTTATGCATTCAGCAGACGCTTTTATCCAAAGCGACTTACAGTGCACTCAGGCTATACTTTTTTACCAGTATGTGTGTTCCCTGGGAATCAGACCCACGACCTTTTGCGCTGCTAACGCAGTGCTCTACCACTGAGCCACAGGAACACATTTGGTGTAATGAAATGTGTTTATGCGGTTTAAAGTTTTAATTTTATTATTTTCCACATATTGTACATTATTGTTTCTCCTCTATGCCCCGTCTTTCTGAAACGCGTCGATTTTTACAAAGCTCATCGGTCTGAAAAAGCGAGGTGTTCTCTGATTGGCCAGCTATCCAGTGCGTTGTGATTGGCCGAATTCCTCAAGCGTGTGACGG